TCACCAAAATTAGAGAATTGAAGATATCATCATGAAATGAACAAATCTGAGAGAGGTCTACCCAAGGTACATATACACCAAGTATCAAAGCATTCAGGCTTGTAGTTTTCAAGAAGAAGTCGAAAAAGTAAAACATTGACACGGACGACGACGACGGACAATCACTCATATGATAAGCTCCGCTCGACAAAGTCGACAGCGGAGCTAAAAATGGTCTTCTACATAAACAAGCAGCCTCTCGGCTAAGATAGCTCCGATGTTAGCTATGGACATTTCATTTTAAAGAATTGAAAATATAACAAAATGAACAAATCTGAGATCGATTCACATGAAGTACCTACATGTGCAAGTGTAATATCAAAGCCATCAACAAGAAGTAAACAAGCAGCCTATCGGCTGAGATAGCTCCGCTGTTAGCAATGCACATTTCAATTAAAGAACTGAAGACATCATTAGAAAATGAACAATATGTATAGTATCAAAGCAATTGGACTTGCAGTTTTTAACAAGTCGAAAATATCACTTTCTACCAAAAATGACAAAAATATTCACCAAAATTAGAGAATTGAAGATATCATCACAAAATGAACAAATCTGAGAAAGGTCTACATGTAGTACCTATATATGTAATATCAAAGCAATTGGACTTGCGGTTTTTAACAAGAAATCAAAAATATCACTTTTTACCAAAATGACAAAAATATTCACCAAAATTAGAGAATTGAAGATATCATCACAAATGAATAAATCTGAGAGAGGTCCACATGTAGTACCTATATATGTAATATCAAAGCAATCGGACTTACAGTTTTTAACAAGAAGTCGAAAATATCACTTTTTACCAAAAATGACAAAAATATTCACCAAAATTAGAGAATTGAAGATATCAAGATGAAATAAACAAACCTCAGAGAGGTCTACCCAAGGTACATATACACCAAGTATCAAAGCATTCAGGCTTGTAGTTTTCAAGAAGAAGTCGAAAAAGTAAAACATTGACACGGACGACGACGGACAATCACTCATATGATAAGCTCCGCTCGATAAAGTTGACAGCGGAGCTAAAAATGTCACTTTTTACCAAAATGACAAAAATATTCATTAAAATTAGAGAATTGAAGATATTATCATGAAATGAACAAATTTGAGAGAAATCCATCTGCAGTGTCTATATGTATAATATAAAAGCAATCACACTTGTTGTTTTTAACAAGAAGTCGAAAATAACACTTTTCACGAAAAGTGACAAAAATATTCATCAAAATTAGAGAATTGAAGATATCATCACGAAATGAACAAATCTGATAGAGGACTACCCCCAAGAATCTATGTTGCAAATATGAAAGCATTTGGTTTAAAGAAGACAAAAATGTTAAAAGTTAACTACATACATGTACTACAGACGACGGATGAACAATCATTCACATGATAAGCTCCGCTCGACAGCGGAGCTAAAAATGGAACTTTTATCTCACTCATTTTTTGGGTAATTTCACATACTGATGGAATAGGAAAAAATATGTTAAGCGTGGTATGTCAATTAGTTTTGCTCTACAAAATCACTCTTTTTACCAATCAAAATGACTGATGTACAGTAATTTTTGTTGTACATGATCATGATTATATAAGGGATACAATTGTGATGTTAATTTACAAGTTGGGTGAGATTTCAGCATAATTTCTGCCTAAAAACAATAATAAAGCATGTTTCAATCAGTCAAAATGAGTGTTCAAAATGGCTGTCAATCTAGGTGTGTTTATGTAAAGCATGGTGCTAATGATGTAAGGAATATGTTTTAAAATGTTTGTCGTGGACCACACAGTGGTGACTGTGGATATAGAGACACTTAGTCACAATGCAAAATACCCTTTATATATGTAAACATTCCAATAACACATACTTGCTTAGAGTATGGTGCATGACTTTGCCAGTTACAAAATCCCTCTAAAAGAGAGAAAATCTCACTAAAATTTCAGAAAAAAACAAAACAAGTCCAGAATTTGCTCGTCAACCATGGCTTAAATCCCAAGAGTTGAATAAAAATTATTTGAAGATGTCGGATTTTAGTTTCATGACATAATATTTTTGCCTAGTCGACTAGAAACATTATGTGCACGTAACAAATGAATAATTTATTCATGGCATTATGAACTTTGGATGACCCTGTCATACAGGAATAATATTATATTCATGTCAAATGCAATAACAGACAGTCCCATTCACATATCTATCTACGTATCGGTAATGGTGAGAACTCGTCATCATGTAAATTTCAAATGGTGGACTTCGATTCTGTGAATCGGCCGGTGCGTGAAAGCCAGATTTGTAGTATGAAAATCAAGGGATTGAAATGGACATATGTCTTTTAGTTATTACTAGGACATCTAGTCCAGACATTCATTTTGCGAAAGCTTTAAATGAATTGCCACATTGTTTCGATCTTTTTCACTGCATTATTGAAAGTCTAAGAAGCTAAGATCTAACCAGCAATAGAAAACACTACGTCAGCCTACATGTACATGTGAAGGGATTAAAAACCTTCTTGGAGGCATCAGCACCGCATTACGTAATAGTTACACCATTACAAAACGGCTTAAATATGGCCAGCGTTGTCCCCACGCTGGACGGCCCTGGACGGTGCCGTCCGGCACTCAGAATGAGCGACCGGCACATATGGCTGCCGTCCGGCACTATTGTTTTTGTCCATGACGCAACGAACGCGTTGGAAGACAAAAGAATGTTTGAGAGGGTGGATAATCAAAGCTTGGGTAGTGTCACCAATTAAAAAAAAAAAAAAAACAATAGACGTGCAACTCAACTCAACGGATTGGCGACGTAAGCGGCCCAGTGGAAATCGAGTGTGGGTGAAACCCTACCCTGAAACCCTACTTAGCACGGCAGTAACGCATAGAAAAGAGGATTACCGTACACATATTTTTACTGCCAGGGTGACGTCAAATATATAAAATCGATATCGGTAAAACCATTCGTTAAAACATAAGGTCTATGGTTGAAACCAAGTTCACGCCATGACTTGTAGCAGCAACATTGTCACCGCCGAGCGGAACAAAGGCAGCCATGCACTTGCATAATCGGTAAACGACCAGTGCAGCTGACGTACCATCACAGACATAGTTGATCACCAAAAAGTCCAGACGAATGCTTGATTAAAGATTTAAATGTTTATATTTCGACTATTTAAATTTGAAATTTCTTTAAATCACGATTTAAAAACCCCAGTAAAACAGCCATGCTTTTAACTCGCGTCATAAGTGGAGAAAATAAATTTACTTGTGTTCTTATTGGATCAAATATTCTGATTGGTTGTTTTTCGCGTCAATGCGTGGCTTTGTCCAATCAAAAGCATCGTTACATAGTATCAGTGTACACGCAGTAAAACGAACTGTTTCCGAGTCATAGCTGTTTTCAACGAAGCAGACATCAACAAACATTCGATTCGAATGAAAATTATTCTTTTAAGTATGTATTTTATGTATTTTTTTTTATACATAATGCTATTATTTTTGCTAGAAACTGCTAACTGCAGATCGAAAATCTTCTATTGTGTAGATTTTATTTCGTTTTATCATCTTGCCTTTTGGCGCCGATGACACACATTCATGCAAGTTTTTAATGAACCAATATATTACGACAACATAAATTTTATATTGCCACGTACAAATAAACAAAAATACAAACATTAAATTTCCAGTTCGAAATATGCCAATTGGTTCCAACATGGAGCTAACAAGAAATTAGCTCCATGTTCCAACAAATATTTAGGTATGTATAATTATTATTACATTTTTTCATAACTCAGAACTGTCAACTATTATTGCAAAGTACTCAAAAGACAGAAATATATGCTCAACCAAAAGATTTCCTATCTACAAGCCAGCACCATTGCATGCATTGTAAGAGCTACTGCGGTACATGTAGAATGAATGCACCATCCTTATCTTTCTAATTACTACACGAAAATTACATCTGTTGACGTGAAATTTGTGTGTTGTCCAGCAAGACATTAGTGATCTTTCTGTCCTACTGATACAACAATACTCCAAGGCAGTGTGGTGTCAGTGCACTGCCAGGACATAAAGATGAGGTCACATGACATACTTAGAATTACTGAAATAATGCACATTAGTGGAGGAGTTCATCATCCTAACACCGTAACCCCATTCTGATGATATTCTTGGTTGTATCAGTGATCTCCAAAGTGCAGAGTTATTCTTGCCCAGTTTTGAATGTACCTGAATACTGATTTCTGTTATAAACGCATTGCTATTCCTTTAATAGGGAGAACACAGTACATTGTGTACTAGAAATAGGTGAAAGTACAGCGAACTAGTTCAAGAATACAATCAACTGTAACTCTGGAATTTATGCAAATATGCAATTAAAGAGAAAGTTTATACAACCAATGGCTACTATGACACAGTTATGTACAACAACATGTGTAATAGCGAAGGCTACGCATCAAGTGGTGATGTCCTGAATATCCAGAACAATTTATAATCTTTAGTGTTAAGCACTATAGTTGCGTAAAAAGGCAATAAGTGGACATCCACACAAACTATGGTGTAGGAAATCTCATAGATGCTGGTACACATGACATGGCAACAACAACAAAATAAACCTTTTTTTTTAAAATAGAATTTAAATAATTTTATAAATGAAATGTGCACAACAAAGTGAGCGGGTTTTGAGTACCGTATACCATTTAGCTTTTCCTAGTTTAATTTTCGAGATTTCAGTAGTGCAATGTCACTTCCACTGCCCACCCCCCAACCCCTCCCACCCAGACCAATTTTCACTGCATGTAATACAGAATTTCCCGATTTTTACTGACTCGCAAAAATATACGTTCAATAGAATTGAAGCAATTTAAATTATAAACTGTTTATAAGTTGAATCCAAGTCACCTGACAAACAATATAAATGTAAACATTAAGGTCAGTCAAAGGTCACATGACAACCAATATTCGTATAACAGCGCACACATCAAACTAATATTTTAAGATAGAATACAGCTAATTAATCTATTTTTTATCATCAATGCCTTAAGAGCACTATAAGGTTCTGTACACATTAATACATAATGCATAATATTACATAAACAGACCTTTGTCTCCAAATTATGGGTGTCCAACACAAATTGAGCCAAATGATTTGTTTCTAGTAACACTTCTCTGCATGGCTGTAAGTACCTACTAAACCTGATGGATTGTCCAATATTACACTGGGACTACCTGCTCTTAAAATGAGTAGCCAAGCTGATTTACAAAAAAAAAATTCATATTTTGAAGAGAGTAGCATGACAGAAATGTAAACATCGCAAGCTATAGTGTAAACAGTTATTACCTGGTATCCACATGTGCAAGGGAAAAAATTGACATCATCCATTTCTAATGCTTCCATACACAGGGGACACTAGTAAAAGAAAAAGAAATAACAATATGAACAATATCCACACTTCTAGTCAACTGTTTGCAAGTTTATGGTACATGTGATATTCAGTCAGATTGGAGTGATGGTCACTCATGAATACTAATGAGCTCATGGATACAAGTCAAAATAGTATTTACTTTTCAGGTATGAAAAAAATAAGATTATTGTTATTGAAAAATTTGTTTTTATTTAATAAATGTAGTACCCTTGAATTTGTCTGGGTGATATCCTAGATTTGAACAAATTACAAAATCAAAATTAAACATCAAAATTCAAATAAGACAAAAATTCCATGAAAAATTAAAAATAGTTGAATACAAGACAATTCAATACAAGTTTAAAATGCAAATGCTCCAGACTAAAAACAAATTGTTGCAATGTTTATTGGAAAGGGCAAAATAAAACAAATTTGAAATGTTGCAGCCAGGAAAGCACACACTCGCCATCAGGGTTGTGATGCGTTAGTTAACATTCAGCAAAACTGTGACAAAATGCTTTTCGATCAACTTTTAAATTGACTGATTCATCATTACATGCTGAAAGAATCAAAAACTGGTGTTTTTTTTTAGTTTAATAAACTGTTGAATGCAATCAAAGGTTTTCTTGATTTTTTTTCAATGTGATAATAACAGCAAGGTAGGAAATTTATGGAGAATGTAGAGGCTCGTTGAAATTTCACTCCACATCTATTGCGCAAGATGTTTTCAATAACTTTTACCAGTGATATGTTATCTAATTATATGCATTTCGAGAAATCACTGTGTGAGTGTGTGTGTGTTCGCAATTTCAACTGAAACCATTTTGAACGCACTAAAATCATAAAACTCTCTTCTGCAAAAAAATAGTAGCGCAAAACTAGTTGTCTGTTGAATTGTTTTGCAATAAACACAATTTCAGGAACTATAGATAGATATATACTTCTACCGTATGTAATGTTTCTAAGTTTCGGTGAGAATTAATCTTGAAAAGAACATTGTTGCTTTGACGATGGCCTGCAGACAACCAAATTCAAAACATTCCATGCAGAATAGATGGCTTCTCTCTTGTGCCAGCGCAGATTTGTCAACTGGGGGGGGGGGGGGGGTACCAGTTGACAAAACTGCATTGTTTAACCCAATAATGCAGTGTTCTCCCCCAGGATGTAAACAGTGTGGCGGTCCCGCCACAGTGCTTCGATTTGCCGCCACACCGGTCAGACGCCGCCACGGTGATTAGCAAGACCGCCAGTCCTTTTTTCATTGGGAATCTCGTCACGTGAGTCGGCACGACCGGCACTTAAAATAAGCTACCACCACGGAAACGCTTCCGACCAGGACTATTGTCATATTGTTATTATACTTGCGTACCGACCGACACGCATCCTGCCAGTCATGGATAATAATTTGTAAACAATAGACATAGTCGCACGATGTGGTAGCGGCTTTAAACAATACAAGTCAATTTTGTAAAATTAGCATCTCTTTGTAAGTAAATACTTGCAGACAATAGACGCAGTCTTTAGATTGAAAGCTAAAATTCTTTCAAAATCAATTCCACCCCGATGTAACATGGGCAAAGCTGAGTTCATGATCAGTTTATGCTACTCAAGATAAAAAACAAAGTGTTTATTGTGTGATTGGGTAAAATACATTAGAACTGTTATCATCGTGAATCATGTAAAAACTCTTCTTTCAAGACTTCTTTTACCTTTTAAAAATTGCTAATCACCTCTTTCGAAAACCATCATGCAGTTTTCATCTGAAATCCACACCAACACATCGTGCTACGACATTGCTTTAACTTCCGCAATGTAATTTTTATGATCACGATCATTCGGAAAACTACGAGTTCTACCGGCATTACCATGCGGCATTCTGATTGGTTAATGGCGTTTTAGACCCATCAGGTCAAAGGTCACATGCCGATCAACTAATGCGTCATAACTATTATGGCGGGTCTGTGTGACCGAGTGAGCAAAAATAATTTCTCCCGATAAAACTAGTTCAAATAATATGTTTTTTTTTATTTGACATGGCATCATGACTGAGTAAGAGGAATTATTGGTATAACTGGTGTATAAAATCACAAAGTAAGTTATGTCACGTCGTAACTTTGATGATCATTTGGAAGTGTTATTTGTTCCTTCATTAATACTGTAAATGTAAACGTTGTAGAAGGTGATGGTCGGAATAATAACCAGTAATCTGCCAAATAATTACGTGGTCGATTTTTTTTGAAGAATTTTGTAATAAATAAGATCATGAAAGTCGTGAACATAATCCTGGCTGAAACGTTTCAAATGAGTTTCATTTAACCTTTTACAATTTATTTGTTTCTTTTTAGTCTGCAGCATTTGCATTTCAAGAATGTTTCATTTTTAAATTCAAACTCTTCTAAATTTTGAATTAAAAAAAAAACATATTTGCACTGTGACAGAGCTCATTAATATTACAAAACATTGTGTGAAGCAAATACATATCTGCCACTTTGTTTTTGAAAGTATATGTTTATTGTGTGGGTGTAAATATGCTTTGGTCAATTTCTATTATTTAATATTATGTAAATGATATGCAAATTAGATCACCACAGTGGTTTAAATTCCTGGGGAGAACACTGACAATGCCATTAAAGGCCCAATTTACTTGCCCCGGGCAAGTGTGAATTGGAGATGTGGCTATGCTAATGAGTGTTGTTAATCACTTGTATAGCCTATGACGCATCCTGTTTCAGCGGTCCAACATCATGTGACTTTGATTGACAGTAGTTAGCTATTCAAGATTAGTAGCGCATCCCTTTCCTCAGTTCGTGTTTTTGACTTTTATCCGTCAAAATCTCAGTTCGTACACTATTTATTGTCATAAATACTACACACAGTCACTGCTGTGATATTCATAGTCACATGCATCCACTTTGGCACGACATAATCGACCTGTAAGTTCGAGAAAACGCGTTTTTACAGGAGTTTGGCTGGAGCTGTTCACTACAATGTGACAAGCAAGGAAAAAATTTTCTATTGTTCAAGAGCGTATTTATAGTATACCTGGGCCTTTAACCAATCAGATTAATAATGTCGGTAGAACCTGAATTTTTTCTAATGATCGTAAAGGTTGCATTGTGAGAATAGAACTACATGATGGTGATGAGAAGAGTGTTGACATTCATGATAACAGTTCAAATGTGTTTTACCCACTCGCGCAATAAACACATTTTTCTCGAGTAGATTAAACAGATTATGACCTCTGTTTTGACCATGATATATGAGAGTGGGAGTGATTTTGACAGAAATTTAGCCTTGAATAAAAAAAATTCTATTATCAGAAAATGTTTACTTGCAAACAATTAGGTGCTAAAAATCAACAAGTGTATTGTTTATAAGCGAGTACCACATCATGCCACGAGGTCCATTGTTTACAAATTCTAATCCTCGACTGGCAGGATGTGTGTCAGTCAGTGCATACATGTAATTATAATAACAATAGAACAATTGTCTTGGTCGGAAGTGTTTCAGTGGTGGTCGCTAATTATGAGTGTCGGTAAGAGCTGATCAACACCACCCAGCATGGAGAGATCCCTGTATTAAGCTTGTTTGAAATTGGTTTGTGACAAACACAATTACTAGCTCCTGCATAAAAATTAATTGTACAGAGCAAACATTTTCAGACCTTTTGGGTGCTTCAAACATTTACTGTAGAATACTTTATTTTCGCTTGGAATTTATTTTCGCTATTTTCGCTGAAGGGATGATTCCGTGAAAATAAAATCCAGTGAATATACTTTTTTTTCTATATTTCACATTAAACTCATGAAAAAATCAGTGAAAATGAATTCCAAGCAAAAACGCCCAAAAAGCCTTTTCAGCGAAAATTAATTCCAGCGAAAATAAAGTATTCCACAGTATTTGCCAAGAAGTAGTAGTAGGCAGAGAACTATTCTAGTAATCATCATCAGAGTACTGCTCAAGCAAGTTTGAAAATTTTGTGACATGCATGTACTCTGAAATGCACAATTGATCTCTTGCCCTACTATAGCGATCTTGTTCCTGTATCCACGTAATTCAGTTTATATTCATATTGCAATGCCTAAGTGCTGCATGTATGTAACACCCTCGTTTCAGCCAATTTTGAGTTGGTTGGATATGGCTACAATACAATTACAGCTTTGTCAAACTCTTCAGTTTCTCACACAATCAATACAATTACAGATGGCTGTATTAGAGTAGCGTTCAAACAAAAAAAAAACTATAAATCTCTATGTTACGTCTCTATGTAACTACCTAAATAGCAATACTATTTCTTTATTCATGACTAACAATGAAAAAGGAACAATTCAATGTAGCATATGGATTGTTGTGACGCACTCTAAAGCAATAAGTCTACATTCTATGGCACATATGATGATATCGAACATAAGCAATATGACATAGAATTATAATGCATTCAATATATGAAGGCACATAAACCAATAAACTAGTCATAAAATATGAATACTGCTACTTTATAGAAGTATAATTTTCACAAGCCCCCGTTTGGTGCATGTATGTGGCATGCAATAATATATCAGCAGCTAACATGTCAAAAATTGACAAAATAATATTCTGGGAAATTTGACAGGTTGAAATTGTCAATTCTTGACAAAGAAACTAGCTTGTAATATACTGGTATACATGCACCACACAAATGCACACCAACAGATTACATGGATCTCAAAGTCAAAGCTAAACACAGTATGTTTCCAATTACCTGACCTTAACCTGTCACTGACCTTGAGACTTCAGAATAACAAGGCTAAAGTCATCAACAAACTACAAACAGCTTGTCAAGAGACAGGAAAAAACCCAAAAACATCAACCAGAGTGCAAGAATGAAACCACTCTGAACAACCAAACTTCACAATAACATCTGTTCTAACAATTCACATTGACAATATCATAAAAAATGTATATTTTATGAGAACACCTACCTCCATTGGATCTTCATGGTTATTGTTATTTGCCATTGTGTCTGTACTAGTGAGAAGTTTGGACTACTGGTTTTATATAAATCCTGGTCTATGTTTGATAAGTTTTGTTTTGATTATCTCGTGAAAAAGTTATCTTGTTCGTAATAGGCCTGTAAACAAATACACACTAATGATCAAATGGTGTCTGCCATGAATGAAGTCAGTAATTGCTTATTATTTAAAATAATACAACACAGATATTATTCCATTCCAGAAATTCATCATTATTAGTGTAGAAAATAATTATTATATATATACTATTTATTGGCAAATGTTTCTGTGTGTATACATAACATAGGCCACTCCCACATTATGTTCTCAACAAATAATTCCAGTGCGCAACTGACAACAAGATATATAAAAGGACAGTTGTCATACACAGGAATAATATATAGACCCACCAAAATACACCTGCTCGTCTTAGATCTGCTTCACTGTCATCGATTGACAAAAATATGGCCAAAATATTTGCCAAGTATGTTGGAGACATGATAAAAACATGGCTGACGAGTATCAGTTTTATGAGATTCACTCTCTCTTGACGCAGATAGCACCATTTTGCATAGCACAATGATCGATATAAGCACGGCGTTTGCTGCATTAAATAACGATTCACCAACGGCCTTTCAGACTTGAACATATTTCTTCTGAGCAGCGCTATGGGGCGTTCGTGGAGGTTGCACGGACACTAGTTCTGAGCTGATCACAAAGCTATAGCTTTAAGACCAATTTATTTTTGACCTAACAATTTTCACCAGCCCCGTTTGGTGCGATGAGTGCCCAAATCTACGGAATCTTTTAAATTGATCAAACTAGAATATTTGAACCAGCCAACTTCAACCTATAGACCCCCTTAAATATCCGCAATTTGGTTAAAATCGTAAAAATTTCACGCAATGTTCACTTACCTCCGTAATTTGGTTTTCCAATACAGTGAAGGATGACGTCATTGCGCATCTGTCTGCGCACAGCACCCGGATGTTCGTCATCCCCCAAACAGAAGAATCATGGGACCTCAAAAAATGGTGGCTGCCAAACTAGGTCCGCTTCTGAGTTATTGTTGAGCTTTGTAACTTCTGTGGAAAATCGCAACTTTGTATTGTGTCATTTCTCGTTAATTATATTTTTTCTGCGATGTAACGGCCATGTCATTCAAACGAGAAGGAAATGATTTCAGTGCTCTGAATATCTTGAAAGTAAGTGTTTTGGTGGCACTCGAAGGGCGACAGACAGGCGCTCGAATCGGCCCCGGCTGTCAAAAACTATAATTTAGTAGTACATGTATATTTTTTGTTGGAAAGTCAGGACATAGTCCCGAAACTGTGGTCAGACCCAACGATTCGATTGGCTGTTATGTTGGGAGAACGATAATATTCCGGAAATGTCTGCGCTGTACATAACCAGCGGAAGTCGAGCCAAAACAGATACTCTCAGCGCAACAAACGCATTATCTTCATCTTATTATAAATATTTTTTATTTTTGCCGAATCGGCATACAGTCAACACCTGAGAGAAATCCAGAACCTTTATCAGCAATTTACAACTATAATTATGATAACTTGGAGTCTGTTTGTCCAATTTAAAATAATTAATCATGTATCAAGATTTCCAAAGTCAAATTTGAGGGCAGCAAACAAATGTAAAGGTGAATAAACTTTTGCCAGTCACTATTACCCCAGCACATAGCAGCAACATTAACTTAATTATAATAACCACAACTCTAAATTTCTGCCCATAGTGGTTTTAGAAGATTTCTGGTCATGTTTGGGAGGAGTGATGAGTATTTTCACTCGTAAAATAATTATTTATCAGCGTAATATTCAAAATGGCAGTGTATAATATCAAGCTCCACAACCTGTTTCCTCCAACGCCATGGAAGCTGTACATGTTCATTGAAAACTGACTATAAAATAACTGTGGAATATCACAAAAGTTTGTCTGTGGAGAGATCACAAACAAACGTTATTTTCAATTGAATAGCTGCTTCTAAAGTCTCAACTTTTTTCTTGTGCATTACAGAAAAGACGTGTTGCAGAATTGCTTGCCTATGATGTACCAGATGATGAAGCCACATTAATGGCAAGTGGGAGGCGAGTACACTTAAATCATTATTAAAGTGAACACACAAGGAACTGAAAAAAAAGAAAGAATCCTTCTATTCAAAGGGGTGTTCAGTTTATGGCTTTTCAAACCATAAAACATTTTTGAACTGAACATGCAATGGACTGAGAATAGTTCTCTTCAAACAGGTGTTCAGTTTACAGAAATATTTTTATAATAAGTTTTGTGTGTCCGTATGTTTGTCTGTATAAGCAAAATTTCTTGGGACATGTCCATGCATATTATGTAGCTAATTTGCATAATTATTTACTCATTGATTGTAGCCAGTTTAAGCAAAGTTTCAAAAACTTTGACCAGATTTTGATCAAATATAGTACATGGGTACCTTGAGGTAATGTGCAGGCATGATTAGTTTTATTTCTGCAAGGTTCATTGGCCAATTCAAGACAGACATGGTACTAACATTACTGGTACATGTATATCACATATTTCATAATTGTTTCCATTCTTTTATTTAGATATGCATGCACTGTGTGTTATCATAGACCTGTATTTGACACGCTGGATATCCTGATAGTACACAGAAAGGGCAAAAAACATGCAGCAAGTAAGCTTCTTTCAAATTATTAAACTACCTGTATTATATGACATATTCAGAACTAGGACTTCGAGTTGAGAGGGCACACATTTTCAAGGCCGAAATTAATAAAATGGCCCTAGCACCAACATGGGGTATATCAAAGGACACCAAGGCAAACACATTGGGCATCTAGGCAATTGCCTTTGATGCCTCAGTGAAGTTTAAGCTCTGTATGCCAAATTGACATTTGTTTTTTGGTCATGGAAGTCTCATTTCAGACTTGTTCCTCTCACAGACTTTTAAACCAAATATAATTGATATCTACCAGTGTCTAAATGTGTTCATCTTGGACTTATTAATTTAATAATCTAGAATATAGTAAATTATCTCAAAAACATAAACTTCATTGATGGGCCACTACAGATCAAAATGCTAATTACTTTTTGAATGATACTCGTGTCCCATTTACGTCATAAAAAAACTCTGTCACTAGAGGGCATGTTTTATAGAAAATGTGTTTTGCTGGTTTAATGAAGTAAGAAAATGGATTGACCTCTGTGCGTGTGTCCGTGCCGATCTGTGTTGTGAATGCGCCTCGTCTGATCACGTTCAAACTTCAAACATACATCTCACATCTTGGGCAACATATGTACATCTATCTGTTTGCTAAGATGGCTGAATGGTAGCCATTTTTGTACTAAAAATTCATCAAATTCAAGTGTTTCCTGTCATTTTAAAAACTGTATCTTGGTTATGTATAGATGTATTTCATTCAAACATGGTACATGCATTGGACATTATGGAATCTTTATGCACATCATTTGTGGCCATTTTGTTTTATTGAAAGTTGTTCCAGAACTATATCTCAGCCATGTCTTGACCGATTTCTACTATTCTGGAACTGGATGGCATGGCTTGATTTTGTACATACATTGGTCATTATGGGACCTAGTTCTACATTATTTTGTTTTTGAGATCATTTTCAAAATGGCTAACTGGCAAGCATTTTGTATTAAGGAATACGGTTCTAGAGCAATATTTCTGACATGCTCTGACTGTTTATGTTGAAACTTTATATATTAATTTCTTAGTAACTCAATGTACTATGTAATGCAATTACTTGTTGTCTGTTCTCATAGATTTGCAGAGGCAGTATCACAAACAGCAAGAAATAGCTGATCTTCAACTGAAACGGGTGCAACGTGAATATCTGAAAAGGGAAAACAGCAAAAGTCAAGTAATATAATATAGTAATTACTGTAAACAACTTCAATTTCATCCAACAAATGTTTATACAAATTTTGCATTTCTTGGATAATCACAAAATGTTTCACAGTGAGCCCCAAAATAAATGAACATCTCCCCATCAGTTTCTCTTGCAATATGTCTGAATATTTTGTGGCGTTTATCTTGACTTTAATGCCTAGACACATTTTCACAAGACTGCAGTAAAGTGAATAAAACCGTTTTCAAATAGGATTTATGAATTTAGATTTAAAATAGTCAGATTTCATACAAAAGAAAAGCGTTCTACAGTTGAACACAGTGAACTATGTTTGAACACAAACATACATACGTATAATGCAAGTGAGTGATGTTATTTACCAACAGTGGAAGACAAAGTGCAAACAAACATGACTGGCAATGATCACAGATATTGCAGTTTTATAAAAGAGATTGATAGTGGTTTTACAGACTTTAGCAAATTTTATTCCTTCCAAGAAATGGCAGTGAACATTTTAACAGTATACAGATTTCAGAGGACATTTTAAAACATTCTAATCACCATTCATACGTCCATGTTGCATATATTCATTTATTTGGTAACCTTTTCAAATTTAATGTAAACCACTTCAAAATAACCACGAAACAAATTATACTAATACAGTTGTATATTTTAATATGACTGTTAAAATACTAGCACTATTACCAGTACCAGTAATGATTTGTTAGAACCAATTTCTTAACTAGACTTGTTGCCAGTGTACCTGTACTAATACATAGTTTTATACGTTGCAGAATAAATCTGATTCGAGCAGTGACAAGCAGACTGCTCCCCTTATTGTAGAAGCACAGAAAGCAGCACAGAAAACTTTGCTGAAAGCTGCACCATATAATAGCTGTGTCAAGTTAGGACGGTCAAAACCATCAAGGTTAGTCAGTATAGATCATTTACAGCAGAACAAATCAACACACACTCTTTGCAATATTCATGCTGTGGTAACTTTGTTTCCATGAATATTCAGAATCTAGTAAAATAGAAAATGTTGGTAGCAGTGAGAATTTGAATGGTGCTTTTGAGGCAGAAAGTTTATTGGTTCACATTATTTGATTTAATAGAATCAAATCTCCAATAAAAATGCATGTAAACTAAAATTTTTATTTATAATATGCTGGATCATTAAAATATGACTCAATCTGACCACTGTTATTACTTTTGTCATTTTCGCTATACTTACTCCGGAGAAATGTCTCAATTTAACAATAATTGCCTTCACACAAAGGCACAAGCTATTCCAATAGAGACAATATGGTAGCTTTAGATGCTGTAATGCAATGTTTGGTGCAATTATTAAGATTGAAAAAAATTGCAGTAGATGGTGCTAGTAAAATATTTGACAGAGACAAAAATTACCAAAAACTGCATTATGTGCATAATTACATATTTTCCATTAAAATTGTTTAACAATAACACTTGATTATCGGAATTAGATGTTTTCTTTTTACTTGATAGAGATGAAGCCCAAAGTTCAGGATCTGAGAAAAAATTGTTTTTCCAACCAAATACAAGTGGCCAAACTTTTGGTGGAGCCCCAGGAGCTTATGTGCCAAAAAGACTCCGAAATGCAACCCAAAACACATCTACATCAAGTGAAAAACATGCAATGAGTGCAAGTGATCAAAAAAACAAATTGACAGACCTGAGTGCGGCAAAGAATATATTACCATCTGAACAGGATAGTTCTATATTAGTAATGTCTACACTACTACCACCGCCACCTCCACCAACACTACCACCAACATCATATACTAATAATGACACAGTGGCATTCCTTGAAGTGCCTTGTGCTTCCTCAGCAATGTCCATGGAAGAACAGTCACAATCTTGTAGCAGAGACTCTTTAGAGAAAGGTGAATGTCAATTGAAAGATACTTTGACTGAAGACAGTCAAGAGAAAAAGAGAAGACAAGCTGAAGTGCAATACTATGTGAAAATGAAAAGGTCAGTCTGTGTTAATTTTGGCCCTGAATTCTCAGTATTAGATTTGGTGATGATAACATTTCTTTCAAACATTTTCTATTGACATGTTTGGGGTTCTACATCAT